AGCCAGGGGAGATAAGTAGAGTCGAGGGGTCGAAGGTCGTAGAGGCGGCAGGTTGTCCTTGAAGTGCACGTCCAATCCGTGTCGTGGCCGGCGTAGAGCCCTGAGGTGCCGTACCCGGTGAAGTAGTGCCGGCCGATTTGACCTTGGCCAGTTCTGCCTCTAGTTCAAGAATACGTTGTTGGCTCGCCACGTCCGCTGATGGTTGAGTCGGGAGCCAGGATTGGAGAAGTTGAGCAACGTCTTTGGCCATATTTTGGGTTGCTTCCTTCTGGTTGAGACATTGGCCTGCCGAACGAGCTCGGAAGGTAGCCAGTTTGTCCAAATCCACATTGCGGGTGCGTAGTTGTGATACCAATTCAGCCACAAATACTGTAGTGCCTATGTTGTCAAAAGGAAGAACGAAGGTTTCTCTTCCGTATGCAACCCGACGAAGCCAGGTATTGTGCAAGCCCTGGTACAAGAACTTCCAGAGTGGGACTTGTAAAGGATCCATCCCTTCGATGTCCTTGTAGCTTGAAAATCTGCTCTGTCGGATTCTGGAGGGAAAGTCCAAACCATTGATCTTGTTGGAGTCGTGGAAGTCGACATCAGGTTTCCAGTTCTCCACTGGTGGGATTTCAATTGGTCTGCATGTATATCCTTCGTTGACAGAGGAACTTGCTCCTGGGGATGATATGGGTCTCGGTGATCTCGGTGTAAAAGGGTGACGTTGAGGTGCAAAGTTGGCGTTGTTGGGAGGTGTCTGTGAGCTCGGAGGCGGCGTGGGCGGAAAAGGTGCCGTTGGTGAAGTCCATGGTGGGCGTGTTTGGAACGATGGAGACGTAGGTGGCGGAGGCGGTATTCCGGAGGGGTTCCAAAAGGGTCGATGTGTGGTCATGGCATAGTGCATCGGGCCACGGAATGCCGGTACTGCTTGGTGCCATCCATGGGACGCCATGATGTAGAGAGGGTCACGAGATGATAGGTCAAAATGCGCTCGAACTGCCGAATGAAAGCTGCGGAAAATGTCGAGGTGAGACAAGGGTAATGTGTAAATGAAAAAGTGTGAGACAGAATACGTGGTCCCAGTGTGTGAAACGGAAAGTGAAAACGAATCGGGCGAAAGGATCAAAAACATGAGCATGCAGCGATTCACAAACCTTTTGAGGAAGAAGTGGCGGCAATACCGAATGTCGGGAGAAGCATTGTTACTCCAAAATGATCGGGCAGGGCCACTAGGCTCACTGTATCGCTGACGTAGAATAGTCGATACTTGTTCCGGTGCTCCTCAAGGGTAAATAGTTCACCAACGAGATCTGGAGTGGTGGGTCGAATGTCGAGAACGAGGTCGGCCGTCATGGTGCTGGTCGCGAGAGTGGTCTTCATGGTATGAGGAGCGGCGATCTCGGCGGCTGTAGGTTGAATTGTCCCAAGAAGCATTGTCGTGCCAAGATCGGCGAGCATAGTTCCGAGAGCCAGAGGCAGCGGTCTCGCGGTGGCTCGGTGTGTCGCGAGAGTCGTCTGGGGGCGGCTCCGAAGGTTCTGGGGCGTCGGCAGAAGGGTCAGGTCGTACTGGACGTGCAGAGTCATCAGGAGGTTCCGAAGGTGCATTGGTCTCCGCAGTCTGGTGTGTGATCAAGCCCGGGAAAACCGTGTGAGTGGAGGCAACGTAGCATATAGATGCGGCGCTCGAGTTCATAGCCGTTGCATTGTCTTTGCCCTTGGCGATGCCCGCAAGGTTGCACAAGCGTTGGATTTGGTCATTTCCTCCAGCTAGGGCACGGATGCATTTGGGTGAGCGGCATATGGCCAGTAGGCCTGATGGGTTTTGTCCTTTGCCTATTTTGTAGAGCTGAGAGGTACAGATCTTGACGGCGTAGCCGGGTAGGTTGTCGATGTCTGCGATCTCAGAGGACATTCCGAAGAATCCGTAACATGGGTATTGAGTCGGTATGCCGGCTTCGTTTTTTGTCCAAGTTGCCGGGCGGATGCAGTCTTCCGCAAGAATTTTGGCAACTGATTCCCAACTCGTTTTGTGGTAGATCAGGTAGGTGCCCATGTGTTCGCCACGGTAGATTGGTTTCTTCTTCAATCCTGTGGGAACCGTGATGGTCAGCAAGTTCTCTGGCTCGATGTAGAAGGCTTGTGTTTGCCTTGCGAGTTCGATGTCCAGTAAGTCGGATTGTGCAAAGGCCCTGGCAATATTCCTGACGGTGGCTTGGCTTGCTTTGATGTAAATACGATGGTTGTTGACAGTGCGGTATGGTTTAGCCAACTGTTCGAACATCGCGTCCACAAATTGGTTGAAGAGCTGCAAGATAGCCGGGGTCAATGATTGGCGTAGGGGAACAACATGATCGGGGCCAAGCTCAGTCAGGCAACGGACCCTATGGGGGTCATTGGCCGCCGCCACCATTTCATCGAGGTCGATGTCATTCGTGTCAAACTTGGTGAGCGAAATTGTATCTGTAACCTCAGAATTTTCACTGTCGCCGTCCGGAACTCGGAATGACACCGCGCCGAGTGGTGCTGAAGTGTGGGCTGGTGGGTTGGTAGTTGGTTCAGGTGGCGGTGGATCGGCAGGAGAGTTGGGTCGAGCAGTGTGGTGGTGGTAGTTGTCGGTGTAATGGCTGTCGTTCCATGTGCCCCAGGTGTCATCAGCGTCGGGAGTGGGGATGTAGGCCGGATTGGATGGGTTTGCAGCTGGTCGAAGTATGACTTCACGGCCTCTGGATCGGTGATGTGGTGTCTCGGAGCGTGGGCGTGGGTGAGATCGATGACGTCGAGGAACCACCGGAGAGCGTCGTCGTGGTGGTGATCTTCGTCTGTATGGGGATGGGGTTCGGCGGTCCTTGGCGTGTTTTGTGGATGATCGATAACGAGGAAGAGGAGAACGAGGTCGAGCTGCACGTTGAGGAGATTTGCGATGGTGATGGGAATGTCCAGAAGGTCGATGGGAACGTGATCTTGGAGTCCTGGATCGTGGTCGGCGTGTTGGTGGTGGTGGAACTTGTGGTTGGTGAGGAGGAGCGATGGCTGGAGCTGGGACAATACGATGGTCCTGAACGTCCGGTTCGGTGGGTCTGGCTTTCGGTGCAGGTGGAGGCGTGGCGATCAGTGGTGGTGTAGTTGTAGGTGGCGGTGTCGGTGGTGTAGGATTCGGTGGAAGTTCATCTTGTTGAAGAAGGAGTTGACGTTGTTCTTGTGCTCGTTGAGAATCCATGATCAATTGTTGCTGAGCTTGAATAAGTCGAACAGATTCAGCCAGTTGTTGTGCAGTGGAACCCAGGGATGCAAGTTCAGGTGACACGGATGAAGTCGGTGCTGTCGTAGGTGCCGGTGGTGTAGCGTGAGGAGGGGTTTTCGGAGCTGGCCTGCGTGGTCGATCCGGTCTTTTGTCCGAGCGATGCCTGGGAGCTGCCTTGACTGCTGGGGGTCGTGGTGAAGGCTCATTTGGAGGGACCGTCGATGCGTCCATCTGTAATGGAGGTTGAATGTGGTGAGGTGGGTATGGAGAACTGGGAAAGGTGTCGGTGTCATAGTCGATGTAGGTGGTGTAGTCGATGTAGGGGATGGAGCCGGAGGGGAAGGCCACGTGGGTGGAGCGGTGGGTGCCATAGGAGATGGAAAAGTCGACGGAGCGGTGTGCACCATAGTTGGTTCAGGAGCCAAAGGCGAAGGCATGGTGGGTACGAGCTGTGGCCCTGGTACTGCATGAGGAGCCGAAGTCAATGAGGTGAACGGCAACGATGTTGGGGTTGATGTAGACGGCATGAGCGAAGCTGAGGATGACCATGTAGGATGCAAGGCCGAGGGATGTCCAAATAAATGTGCATTCGGCGTTGATTGCTGCCACGTCGAAGATGGGTTCGAAGGCTGCGGTGGAGCAGGCCATGACGTTGGCGGAGTGTTCCACGGATGCATCGCTTCAGTAGATCAAAACAAAAGTGAACAATCACATACAGGATTCAGTCCCTAACTGCCTAAAATGTCGTGCGATTGTTCCCTGCACTGGGACCGTGGTCAAGTCGTGCCGCAATGGCATAAAACAGCTTCCAAGTTCCATCGAATTAGATGCACAAAATGTTTAACCTCACCAGACAACCATCAAAAGAAAGAATCACCACACCTGAAAGTCGTGTGCCTGCCTGTAACCCGTCACATGGACATGTTTCACTTCCAAAGCTTGAGCTGTAGTGATCGAAAAAAGAACGTTTCAGGTTGTTCCGCATGGCTTCTCTCAGTGAAGAAAGCAATTCACGAGGATCTCAAGGGACAGCCGGAACGGCAGGACATCTCAAAAAGCTGGAAAAACAGTATGGCCGGCTGTTGCAATTTACTTAGATGAATTACCAACTTAAAATGCGTAAATTCGGCAGTCAGGACAGTCAGCACTCACCCTGAAAAGGGTTGCCTCAAATGGCTCCATGGCACCATGTCGGAGCCACCATGGAAATCACACTAGACAAGAAAGGATCATTATATGATCCGGCAGGAACTGAATCCTGAAACATGCAAACCAGTCTAGATCGTTAGATTAGTAAAGGAGCCACATGAGGTACGTCTCGAAAACGATGTAGGGCATCCAATATTGTCAAACGTAGTCTTAACCAGATTCCATAGAGTTTGGACCAGCATGTTGAAATCCAAAAAATTGTTTCGGCGATTGTTTCCCAAAAAGACCCAAAGTTCGTCGGCGACATGATCTCGGCGAAAATATGTCAAAAAATCATAATACTGTCGGCGATATGGTTTCGGCGAAAATCTGAGGAAGGTTCTGATGCATGCAATACAGATTGTGGCAACCGTGTAGATTCGAAACAACGCAGTGTAACAGCTTGATCAACAGTTGAAACCAAACGTTGCAGGTACACAGAGTTGATCAGACTCTGCTTCCAGCACAAGTGGATAGCTTCGTTGGGTGCAGTCTCCACTGTGCTCTGCACCCCCCTGCAAATTAGTAAAAACCAATAAGAAGTTTTACATCTGTTCAGATGGTACACACACACACACAGATGCAGGCTTTCCGTCACCAGCAGCACCAAATGCATTACTCAGGAGAGGTCGAGGGAAGGGAAAAGCTTGGGCACTTGCGCGCCTTTGCACTTTGGGTGGAGCAAGGCTTTATGACAACATACCTCATCAAGTTGAGGCTTTGTGACTCTGTGTATTGTTTTCTCATCTCAAGGTGTTTCCTCAGGATGCAGATGTCCCCTTGATTGAATGCTTTTCCCTCTGGAAGGATGTGTGGAAGCACCTTTGCAGCGACCTGCGAGAACGCCTCATGCAGGCAGGCATCGTAGTGCCCAACAAAGAGGCTTAGAGGCGCCATAATTATCCAGCCACATTTTGACAGAATGCCAAAGCCTTTTCTCTTCCTGACAAGTTCCTCAGGAATCAGGATGCTAACAGAGCCTCAGGATAGTTTTTTCCTTTTTTTAAATGTTTTTTGTTGATTGGCAGTTGAATCAGTCTTTGGGTTGCCATGAGTCCCAATCAGCTGAATCATCAAATCATAGATGGTTACTGCTTGCCAGATCTTTCAGCGCCAGGATCCTTCAGTGGAGCCGAGAAGATCGCAGAAGAAAATGTTCGGACCGTGCAGAAACTATCAGAAACTCATTCTCCATCTTCAGGATGATTGTTGCCATTGTTTGGGTATCCAGGCAATTGACCTAGGAGAGCGCAGTAGATTGTTCAAGGGGTTCAAGGCTCCTTGAGTCCCCTAATGGGGTGTTTCTTCTGATATTTATTGGTTGTTCAACTGCATTTGCTGCAACTTTTGAGACAAGTTGATGGAAACTTCCGCCCGTGCCGGGCCCTTGCCGATTTCAAGTGTGCGGGAAACCGCTGGTCGTGCCGCAGTGCCCATGACAGCGGCAAAAACTATGGAAACTGTTACCAAGGCCAGTGAGGAAGACATTTATTTGCAGGTACATGCAAACATCTGAATTTAGCCACATCCATCAACCAGCATCCGACTTCCGAGCATTCCAACTCCTTCAATTTGGTCTGGGGGTTTCATGATGATCGCCTCAACTTGATACAAACATTTGGATGCAGGAATAAGGGAACACCTCCAGACAGCCAGGTGCATAGAGAGCAAACCCAACAGATCACAGATCCAACTTGTCAGCTTTCCTACCCGAAACAACAGCCGTGGTCGCTGTAGTTTGAGTCGGGTTGAAGTGGTCAGCAACTAGTGGCGGCCACAAGTTATGCCGCTGCCGAGTACGCCTCCATCAGGACCCACTCGAGCCATTCAGCTGCATTTGGGGATTCTCCCAGATATCCTTCGATGGTTTCATGATGTTCACAACACCGAGGCGCCGCTCTTACCGCGCTTTTGTGAGCTGGAAGAGACAGATGATTGGCTCCTTGGCGTCACCAAGCTGCTGGAACTCGCTTCAACGGCTATAAGATGTCATAAGGGTTGTGTTTCTGGTTGATAGGCCATGGGAAAAACATGGAAAAACTATAAACACTTGGGCTCCTGGCATGAGGTTTGCAGATACATGGGCAAAAGATGGCAAAAGGGGAGGGTACCTGTCAATATAGAGCGTTTGGTACCGCCCCCCAGGTGCCCACAGTCTCCTGGCTCGTGATGGTTGTCAAACATATATGGGTTAATGGGTCAAGAATCATGAGCTAGGTTTTTCAATGTTTTTCATGGTTTTTCTGTTTTGCATCATTATCCAATAAGAACGGGGGATTATAAGCATATGTACACAATTATAGCGACGGACAATCAGTTAGAACGTATTTTAGAAAAACATATGAATATTTCACGCTTTTTGGACGTTCTAAGTGATTATTTGTCTACGTTCTAAGCACCCCACTTAGAACGTTCAAATATCAAGATTCATCACTTAGAACGTACCGTGGAATTTAACACTTAGAACGTGTCTAGGTCAATGATGATAGTGGAAAGGCTTGTGAAATCTTTTATCTCTTAGTGTTGGATTCAGCAGCTAATTCCGTAGGAAGCATAGACATAATTTCGTACCATTTGGCTCTTCCCTCCCGTATGATTTGCAAATATTGGCGATCTTTTATCTCTGGAACACTATACCTTTTGGATCCTTTTGGTGCTTTTTGGGGGTTCTGTCGTGAAAAGGCACCACATCATCTTGGCCGAGCCGGGCTGAGGCATGAATGTCAAGATCAAGATGTGCCTCAAGCCGGGTGCTTCTCCAGGAGCTCATGAGAAATGGGTATCATTTTGCCTGGCTGTGCTCGCACAGTGACATAACATATATGATTATATAATATATACGTATATTATATACTCTTATAATATAATACAATATGATACTACATTATTCTATATACTTAATATAATATGTGTACACACACACATATATATATACATACACATATATATATATACACATACATACATACATACATACATACATACATACATACATACATACATACATACATACATACATACATACATACATACATACATGACATACATACATACATACATACATACATACATACATACATACATACATACATACATACATACATACATACATACATACATACATACATAAATACATATGTGTACATTTGCAGATCCATACACATGAACATACCCGGTGGAGCATTCCTGCTTGTCCAATACCACAACGCTGTCCATCTGAACTTGGTGCCGCAGGAATATTAGCACTTTTAGCACTGAAAGCACACCGTCCTGGCGCTCAGCGTGGCCGGTCTAGGACTGTCGAGGAGTTTACGATATGATAAGATATGATTGTGGCAGCAGATAGGCTGATAGATAGATAGATAGATAGATAGATAGATAGATAGATAGATATATGCATATGTATATATATCCCCCCCTTTAACCCTGGAATATTTGGGGGGGGGTAAGGCAAGAAATTTCTGAGAAATATTTCACCTGACCACGTGAAATATACCCCCCTCCACGTATTTTTTTGGGCTTCTAAAAGACGTGGGGGGGGGGGTTCCTCCGGACGCTGTTCCTTTTTGGACCTTTTTAGTCCTCACGCGGGTAGGGCCCATGCGCAAACACTGACAACTAGGTAAATGGTAACTGCCGGTTTCCAAGAAAGTAAATAAGAGAGTGAACTTGCCAAACAGCCTTCAGAACATGACGTTCAGCCTTGAATTCAACCACGCCCAAAGCCATTATAGACCAGATTTTTTTAGCTGAAATATTTCACTTTAGGGAGGTGAAATATTTCTAGGTGTGTGGGGGGGGAGACCCCCCCCTAAAGTGAAATATTTCAGTTTTTACCCCCCCCCCACCCCCCCCTTAAAGGGGGGGGGATGTATATATATATATTATATTATGTACGTATGTAATGTTATGTTATGTAATGTAATGTAATGTAATGGTATGGTATGGTATGGTATGCATGCATGCATGGATGTATGGATGTATGTATGTATGTAAGTAAGTAAATAAATAAATAAATAAGTAAGTAAGTAAGTATGTAAATGATATATGGCAGATCTTCTTGCAATCCCATCATGACATGAGCGAATTTTTGAACTATTGACTCCTGAGATGCATTGGGCAGTTGCCAACGTCCATCTCAGTTTCTCCACGGACCTCCTGCCACTAAGTTGGTTCTTGCAATGGGGGGAATGAGCTGGAGTTCTTCCGATGGAGTGAAGCAGTTGAAGACTCTTCGATCTTTTGAACGCTGTTTGGCTACTTCCTACATCTTTCCTACATCTTTCCTACATCTTTCCTCATCTTTCCTACATCTTTCCTACATCTTCCCATTGGATTGGTGCCATGTCATGCCATGCCACACCGGAAATCGGATTTTGCGCTTAGGATGACCACAGGGCGTGCCATGGTCAGCGGTTCCGCCAGCCCTGTGGGCTCAGGCCATTTTGACCATCCTTTCAGATCTTCGATATCTATAAATTGATTGTAGATATACCCTCTGGTTATTTAACATAGCCATGGTATAGATGGCCCATTTATAGATGGTTTACCTATTAAAAACGATGATTTTCCATGGCTATGTTAAATAACCAGATGGTAGATATAAATAGGCCTTTATATATAGGAGATTATCGATATGTCGATATCTTCGATTTTTTGAATCTCTTCCAAAATGAAATGAAGACAGAGCGTTTTTAATGATCATGGCATATCATGGCCAATGTGGGAATGAACACCAGACACTTGAGACACTTATGATTTTCCACCAGTTTCTGTAGCCTCCTTCATGTTTGCATTTTCAGCTTGGTGGTCCTGAAAGTTCAATGCTAGGCACGTGACCATAACGGGGGACATCCCGATATTGATATTCATCAGCATGTGTGATGTTCCTGGAAACGTCACCATGTCCTGAAAAACACAAAGTCTAGTTTGCGATCAGTTTTGGATGGTCTTGTCTATTGAGTCATTGAGCCATCCACCATAAAAAGGCATGCAAAGAACAGTCGACGTTGCTTCAAGCTTCCACACTCTGCCACAGGTCCTTCACAGCTGGTCACAAGTGTGGAATCCCAATGAATCCCATATTGTGATGGCAGGGGGAGGCATTCAGTTTCTTTTTCACTTGAAGCGCTCATTGATGTTGCAAGTGGGATGACGTTATTTGGGAATGATGGAACCGTGGAAACATGGTGTGCACGTTGTGCCGTGCTAAGGTTGGGATTGCACCTCCGGGTACCGGACACCAGATCGTCCCAGAGGCTTCATCAGGTGAGGGCCAGGGGGTGACGATCCGCGGGCAGCAAAGATCTTGATGTCTACCTGGTTCGGTGCAGGTAAGGCCATATCGTCATATATGGTCCACATTTGAGAGAACTCTGTGTGATTGGTTTCATGTTTAGACGATTTTTTGAAGGCTATACAGATCAAAGTCAATCAGAATGTTGATTTGAAATGCTTTAAAACAGTCTAGAAGCTGGACGATGCTGGCGTGATATGGTGGGACATAGAACATGAATGATGCCAGAGGCAGCTCTGTTGACCTTCCATTTCAGAATGTCAGCAAAGACGACTTCATCACCCAAGCAGAGTTCGTGCATGTTTTTGATCACACCCAGATTCTTCCAGATTATTGTGTTGGAAACACATGAGTCACCTTCCCATGGAACGCAATTCTGGAAAATATGATAAAATATGAACTTTCAGACGTCAGACTTCCATTCTCTCTGACCCAAAGTGGTCGTTGACCCGAAGCGTCTGTTTCAGCCCCTGCAAAGTCCAGCAACTACACCCCAGTGATGCAGGTGCTTTGAGCGCAAAGAGCCTGAGCAAGTTGTTAAGCGACGGCAAAGCACTTCCAGCATAGACAAGTTGTCTCATGAGGCCAGGGGCATAGCGCCTGGGGATCTTCGACCAAGCACCAAGTCCATGCAGAATGTCAAGGATTGATGATGCATATTTTGATGCATATTTTTGCGCTGTTTCCAGTGACCAGGCATTGTTAGCACCTGCGAGGGAGCTGCGGCGAATGTCACTGGCACCGCCAGTGGATGCAGAGAAGCTGGGGTCTCAATTGCAAGATAGTGCCGTACAGATCCGTACAGGTCGTATGTTCAATCGAAGTCCCATCCCTCACACCGTGGACTGATCTGAAACTGCTTGTTGGATGCTGGCAGCGACAGGGCTCAAAAGGAGCTTGAAGAGACGAAGAATCTTCTTGAGAAATGTCTGGGAACTTGGGCGGAGAGTATGGGACTGTGATGCCAAACATTTTGCAGATGGTGAACCTGGTGAACTGGGCATTTTTGGATTTGCCTTGTTGTCTCAGCTCTGTCCTGTTTCCCGGAACACCAAGCAGCTTTGCAGAAGGTTGCAAGGCTCACGAGTAGCCGTTCCATGGTAGACCATGCTACGCCCAACTGTGCTCTGCTACACCCTTTCCAGGTATGTCTGACCTAGCAGATCAGAAAATGTATGATCAGATGCTTGAGAAGTTCAGGCCTGACGGAAGGGGAGAAGCCAGAACAGGACAATCAGGTTCTTATGCTGGACATATGAAAGTCTCGGACTCCAATTTGGTCCTTGTTTGTTCAATAAAAATCTTCACAGCAACGCGCTCGTTCTGTTCCAGTTGAAATCTAAAGCAATGAGAAGAAGTGCATCGTGCACTGCTGGTAAATAATGCTGCAGTGACCTATGGGAAGGATAAGTATCCCCAGCACCCACACAAACACACACACAGCGCAAAATCATGCAATGTCGTACTGACCAGTACACAGGTGTTTGGAAAATGTGTTTGGAAAATCAGGAGAATCAGTCTACCGGTCTACCGGTCACGCTTTCATCCTGCAGACTTGCTTCTTTGGCCTGCGAGTTGAGGCCCTTTTTGACAGCGCTCTCACGGGCAGAACCATGGCTGAAATTGGTGAAAGCGTGGTCACCTTGAGGCCCACAAAATAGATAGCAATTCATAGAAAAAAACATAGATACTGATAGATACTGATATACTTTGGTAAATTGATGAGTGGGGCCCGTGGACAATCACAGCCTGGCCCCCTGGGTGCGGGAAGATTCTTCCATTGTTGCGAAAACCAACAGAGGTTTCCTGTGACACCTGTGTAGCATTGTGTAGCACCATGTAGCAGTGGCACTTGTGGTAGATTGTAGCACCATGTTGCACTCCCTTGCAGGTGGCAACGGTGGCAACCATCCCGGATGTCACCCCCGTATCCTATTTATCCTCCCAAGGAACAACTCCTCCGCCGTGAGCAGCCTGAAACGCTGCTGGGCTTCTTGGAACCTAAGGTCGAAATGGATCCGAAAGGATCCGAAAGGATCCGAAAGGATCCGAAAGGATCAGCTGGTCACAGGCGATGAATTCTGTTTTGTACATCAGCATTTTCTGAAGCTGTGAAAGAAAAAACATCTGTATGATCCTATATGATCCTAAAGTCCAATGCCATCCAAGCTACCTGACCAGGGAAGAATTTTGACGTTCCTGCTGGAGCTTCACCAGCAAAAGCGCCAGTGACCTTAAGGGCAGTGATTTCAAGGAGCATCACAAGGTCAGATGTGTTACTTCTGAAACCCATGGCAACTTTTGACAGCTTTCGTCACTTTCATCTCCAAACGTTGTCAGTTCTAGGATGTTCCAGGGCTCCAAAGAGTTGCTGCGAGGTACCGGCGCCAGACGCACTGCTCACTGAATGTGCTCTTGCAGCACCCTTCTCAGGAAGTTAGCACGATATGTTGTGCTTGATATTGCCCTGTATTGCACCTAAAGCAGGTCAGATCGCTGAAATTCAGCTCTGCTTTACAGGTGTGATTCGTGGCTGGACGTGTATCACCGTGAAGGCCTTCTGGCCAGAACGCCTCAGGAGCTAAGCTCGTGCCTAGAAATGGGTTCCCAATGGCTCAAGTACCGGAAAAGTATCCAAAGATAGGAAAGATACCGTAGGATGCTGTAGGTATCCATAAGACAGGTCATAAGTCATAATAAGTCACTGATGAATTCGTATCATACTTTCAAGCCAAGTGAATCTCCCACCGGGGAGTCGACCAGTACAGGAGCTGCTGCTGGCGCTGCCCATGTTGCAACGTCGCCGGGTGTCGAAGATTCCGGAACCTGATTTGCTCAAGGTCGTGGAGGCGGGTCTCACCGTGGGGAGCCTGGTTGGATCATGTTGGATCCTGGATTGGGCGTTGGGCACCAGGCTCCATCGCCACCGGTGATCTCCCCGACGTGTGGGAGCTGAGTCACAAAGTTCACATGGTGAGACTTGGTGAGTATTGACATGTATTGACATGTATTGACAACCATTAGCAACTACAAGGCGATACAAGGCGTTTGATTTGATGGCATCCTGGTGTGGGTTGAAGATGATGCCAGAGTGTAGCAAGTTTGGGCACACTGAGGCGTCGCGCCGCCGTGGAGGCAGATGCCAAAGTCATGCGGGAGAAGCGTCTGCGAAGGTGTGGCATCAAGTTGATTGGTTTTGCACTGAAGAGACCCGCTATCTATCCACAAGCATTTGTGTGACAGGGCAACTAGAAGGCCAGAGGAGTCGCTGGAAGATCTACTGATTAAGAGCAGGGATCAAGCAGAGGCCTGGCATTTCCACAGGGATGGACTTTTTCCATACCTTTTTAAGCGGATGGCTGGGCAGTACTTTGCCAGATATGACCAAGAAATACCAAGAACATCCAAGGTTCTAAGAACATCACCGTGAAAGTTGGACAGAAAGGTGTGAAAGCCACACTTTGGATATGCTGGAGGCGTTGGACTATGCCGCCGGTGGAGACTCTGATGAGGCGCGAGAGACGGGGATATTGAAAGAGACAGAGAGGCCATCAAAAGCACCCACCGACCCCCAACACCGTGTTTGATACTATACTGTACTGATATGTACTGATACTATCCAATACTACCCAGCTGAACTAGGCCGAAGCCAGATGAAGCCAGTAGATTTGGGGGTTTGGTGTGCCTGGCTGCCTGGCAGGTTCAGGTGGCTTTTGAGACTTTCCACCGTGCCGTCGCGGACCCAGTAGAAGCAAGGCCTCGATGTCTCAGTCCATCACTGACGGCCTTGGGATGTAAACGTCAGCAACCACTGGCTTGTTTGCCGACCCTTGGAGTCAGGGTCACGTGACGACGTTCCAAAAGTGCCTCTAGGGAACGGAGTTCAACATGCAGTCCTAGGGATTCCTAGGGCACCTGGTGATTGGAGACATCTCGGGAGGCTGAGGGTGTCCTTAAGCCTTATAAGCCTTTATTAACAAGGATTCTACCAGTAATGACTTAAGACCGAAGTTGCTCACATTCTGAAGTAAGATCAGGAATCTCATTGAGTGTAACACCACTGCAGGGAACAGCAAGCAACAAGACGAATCTGTCAAGACATGTTAATTCTTCGTGCTCATCGTCTTCTCATCTCATCCTCCCATCTCACCCCTGAGGTGCGGCAAGCATTTGAAAAGAAGGCAGCTGCAAAGGCACCCTGCACAAAACAAAATGACCAAAGTGACCAAAGTTTAGGAAAAAGCTTTGAAAGAACAAGGAAGAAGCAGAGATGATAGAGGAGTCTATCACTCCTTTTTACTCCGAAGGTTCTCAGGTCATTGTCATGGCATTTGCCAGACTATGATCTTGGACCGTTTGAAACAATGTACTGGGTCAGGGTGGTAACTTGTGCCGCGGTTGTCTTCTTGTGCCGCAAACGGTGTGCCGTTGGGAAGTCCATGATATACATGTCATTCTTACTGGATGAATCAGTTGTTTGTGGCATTGATTTTTCTAACACTTTGCAGGGGCACGCATGTTTTTGAGACATATTCTCTTTGAGATAGAAACTCATGGGGATGGTTTCTCAATAGCTTGACTCACACAGAAGAGAGAACAGTAGAAGAGTAGAGTAGAAGAGTAGAAGAGTAGAGTCGAGAAGAGAATCGAAGATATTGAAGAGTAGAAGTGATTAGAGAGGCGTAGAGCAGAGAAGGGAAGAGTAGAAATCCCTGCTGCCTTGCCCTGCTGCCTTGCCTTGCAAAATCCCCATCTCTTACAGATCTCGTCAAGACCTCGTACGGATCTCGTAAAAATCACGCTGTCAAGCGGTACCTTGAATATCTCAGTGCCATTGTGCTGTACTGTTCAGTGCTGGAATGTTCCTGGTGTGCCACTGGGAAAAGCCTTTTGTGAGTATATTTTCCCAGGGTAGGAATGAGAGTCCGCCAATGAGAATGACATGTAGAACTCCTGGTCTTCTAGAGGTCAAGTTGATGGTGTGCCATGCGGTTTACAGCGCTTTGTGTCAGGTCTAAGACAGATAAAAAACGGTCCAAAGCGTTATGTGCACATATATGGATAGGTGTCGGTGTGCCGTGGTGATTTGGCTATGGCACAAGTTCTTTAGGTTGTGGGGTAAGCTGTGTGCCATGCGGTGGGGTAAGATTATGATTGTGGCGTAAGTTACCACCCGTACTCGTATTATAATATAGCTTGAACAGACAATGCTGGACATTTTGAATTATTTCAAATCAGAATGTGTGCGGGTCGAGTGTTACCACTGTGCTGTAAAAGAATGTAAAAGAGGGACTTTAGCCTCAGCTGTTTTGAACACATTTCAGCACATGTCTTCGAAAAAACCTTGCTGCTCCATGGCAGTGAGCTGGCACGCAGGGCCGTTTGAGTTTGGAAGGTTTCGAACCCAAGCCGCACCTTGGCCAAATTCACAAACAGCACTGGTAATTGAGGGAGCGAAGGAATGATTTCCTGCAGGAGTGACCTAAATATGGAAGTCAATCTTTTCATTCCAATTGTAGAACAGAAGTGGGCGTTGTTTGCACATGTTTGCTTTAATGACCCGATTTCTGACGTTGAGATGGCAGTGGTGAGATGTAGCGAGATAGCTTAGTGGCTTAGTGCACCTTTCAGCAAGGCAAATGGCTGCCTTCCTAGTCGACGTGGGTGTTTGGTTCTCAGCTGACCCGATCTAGGCAGATCCGATCTAGGCAGATCCAGGCCGATCCAGTGTCCAGATTTTTTCGAGGTGAAGCGGAAGGCTTGGAGATCACGAGTCTTCTATGTGCAGGGCCCCCAACTGGTCCTGTTGCCCTGGCGAACATTGGCGAACATTCACCCTAACCCAGTCCAGTCATTTTCATCGATTTGATCGGTTTCTATATGTGCTACATGGCTCAAGGCCTTTTTATCTTTTACCGGTTTGTCAAGCGTAAAACCCTTCCATCAATGGAGGCCCTACCTGTGGTTGTGCTGACTGACCCTATTTCCACTGGAGCGTTTCTGGTGGACATCGTGTTGTCTCGCGGCTTCGGGGTCCTCGTCTTGTGGAGTAAAGAACGCGCAGAGTCATTGCCTATCAGCCACAAAGGAGTCTACAAGGCAGTCAAAGAGCAAGTCTCCATTCCTGAAACTGTGAAGGCAATCAAAGGTGCTCTCAGTCCAGGCTCTGCAATTATAGCTTGCATTCCTGGCAGTGAATATGGTGTCAACTTGGCGGATCTCATTTCCATTTGGCTTGGCCTTCTTGCGAACGGCTCTGGGAACCGACCTTTTCCCGCAGGTGACCGCCGAAACAAACATTTGCAGAGCAGTGTGCTCAAAGGAATTGCTGGTTGCCGTGCCATTCGTGAAGTTTGTGGCTGTGCATGGGAAGAGGTGAGAGATTCTTGCAGGGAATTGGGGCTTCCTATGGTGGTGAAGCCGGTGCAGTCTGGAGGGACGGATGGAGTCAAACTTTGCCACTCCATGAAGGCAGTAGAGGAGCATTTCAGGCACTTGCAAGCCACACCGAGAAAAGTTGCGTCCTCTGACCATGCAATTCTGCTCCAGGAATTTATGGTTGGCCAGGAGTATGTGGTGGACCAAGTATCTCGGGATGGAGTGCACAAGACTATCATGACTTGGGTCTATGAGAAGCAACCGGCAAATGGTGGTGATTTTGTCTATCTAGCAATGCGTCCAGTGGAGACCAAGGAGTGTCCAAGTGATCTGATCCCATACACTCGTTCAGTGCTTGATGCATTGGACATTCAGAACGGCGCGACCCACGCAGAAGTCATGATGACTGCTGATGGTCCCTGTCTTATTGAAGTCAACGTGAGGGTCATGGGTGGCAACGGCTCCTTTATCTCTTTGGCACGTTTGCTCACTGGGACTTCACATGCTGATGCGGTTCTTGATTGCATCGACCAGAAGCGCTTTGATGCCTTGCCTGATGTCCCCAGGGCCTTTCAAGCTTCAGGTCTGGTGGTGTTTCTCATCTCTTATTCTTCTGGCATTGTGGCAAGCACACCAGGCTACGAGGTGATGAAGAAGATGGATTCATTCCTCGAATTGCACACATCTATTTCACCCGGATCTGCAGTAGAAGTCACTGTGGACACTTTCACCTTTGCTGGCATTTTGGTGCTGGCTGGCTCCGAAGATCAGATTTGGGCAGATATTGTGGAGGTGCGTAGACTAGAAAAGGAAGGCCTTTTTTGCTTCACTGAAACAAATAGGTTTCAGTGCGGCGGGGCTTGAATCATGAGTGCTGAGTACATCGCGGCGATGGCCGATGCCTAGTAGCGTTCAAGCTTAGACTTAGTGACTCGCGGGCGTGTGTATAGCTTTGCTTACAGACTTGTCACATTTTTAACACCAATTTTGCAGCAGCATCAGCCAATCCAGGCGAGCTGTTGTGCATCCTCTATGCAATATCCCCATCTGGTGATGCAGATTATTTTCCTGGGAGTCCAGTACCCAAAAATAATTTTGAAATCACCGATTTGATCCGATTTGCACATGCTAAACCCTGCGTCCCTTCGAACCCAGGAAAACAATTTTGGTTCAAAATATGTCGAAAATATTTCAAGATTATTTTGGAAACGTCCGGCCACAGGAAAGTAATGTTCATGGGGGGGGAGTTCACTGGAACATATATGTACGTCAAACCCCAGGAAAAAAATGCCCCATGATTATTTGAGGGGATATGGTTCTTTACATGACTCTAAACGGTTGGGAACCAGGATTTAAATCTGTGGAAATGGTGTTATAATATGTTATAATGATTATAATGTTGAATGTGCGTAGGTTAGATATCAGGAACAAATTCCAAAGATACATTTGTCCTTGCAAAGGGATACATTTGTCCTGAAAGCGCGCCCAAAATGCAAAACACATGTTTTTTGCTGAAAATACATTTGTCCTAGCAAAAGGCTGCAACCACATATGTTCAGCTTCACCAACCAAACAAGGTGACTTGAAGAGGCCGAGGCGCAGGTGTCAAAAATAAATTCCAAGGTGCTAGACCTGTTTTGGCTGAATACATGCTGATGATCTTCAAAGGTTGGCCCAACAGGAAAAAAAGTCGCATCACCAGGCCAACCATCCATAGATAGGACATGATGGGACAAATTCAAGAATTTTGTGTCAATGCGCGCTCAAAATGCAAAACGCATGTTTTTTTTGCTGAAAATAAATTTGTCCTAGCAAAAGGCTACAACCACATATGTTCAGCTTCACCAACCAAAAAGGTGACTTGAAGAGGCCGAGGCGCAGGTGTCAAAAATAAATTCCAAGGGGCTGGACCTTTTTTGGCTGAATACATGCGGATGATCTTCAAAGGTTGGCCCCACAGGAAAAAGTCGCATCACCAGGCCAACCATCCATAGATACGAAATGATGTGACAAATTCAAGCATTTTGTGTCAACGCGCGCCCAAAATGCAAAACACATGTTTTTTGTTGAAAATACATTTGTCCTAGCAAAAGGCTGCAACCACATATGTTCAGCTTCACCAACCAAAAAAGGTGACCTGAAGAGGCCGAGGCGCAGGCGTCAAAAATAAATTCCAAGGGGCTGGACCTTTTTTGGCTGAATACATGCTGATGATCTTCAAAGGTTGGCCCAACAGGAAAAAAGTCGCATCACCAGGCCAACCATCCATAGATAGGACATGATGGGACAAATTCAATAATTTTGTGTCAACGCGCGCCCAAAATGCAAAACAAATGTTTTTTGCTGAAAATACATTTGTCCTAGCAAAAGGCTGCAACCACATATATCAGCTTCACCAACCAAACAAGGTGACTTGAAGAGGCCGAGGCGCAGGTGTCAAAAATAAATTCCAAGGTGCTAGACCTTTTTTGGCTGAATACATGCGGATGATCTCCAAAGGTTGGCCCCACAGGAAAAAGTCGCATCACCAGGCCAACCATCCATAGATAGGAAATGATGGGACAAATTCAATAATTTTGTGTCAACATGAGCCCAAAATGCAAAACACTGTTTTTTTGCTGAACATACATTTGTCCTTGAAAAAGTCTACAACCACATATTATGTTCAGCTTCACCAACCAAAAAGGTGACCTGAAGAGGCCGAGGCGCAGGTGTCAAAAATAAATTCCAAGGGGCTGGACCTTTTTTGGCTGAATACATGCGGATGATCTTCAAAGGTTGGCCCCACAGGAAAAAAGTTGCACCACCAGGCCAACCATCCATAGATACGAAATGATGTGACAAATTCAAGCATTTTGTGTCAACACGCGCCCAAAATGCAAAACACATGTTTTTTGTTGAAAATACATTTGTCCTAGCAAAAGGCTGCAACCACATATGTTCAGCTTCACCAACCAAAAAAGGTGACCTGAAGAGGCCGAGGCGCAGGCGTCAAAAATAAATTCCAAGGGGCTGGACCTTTTTTGGCTGAATACATGCTGATGATCTTCAAAGGTTGGCCCAACAGGAAAAAAGTCGCATCACCAGGCCAACCATCCATAGATAGGACATGATGGGACAAATTCAATAATTTTGTGTCAACGCGCGCCCACAATGCAAAACACATGATTTTTGGCTGAAAATACATTTGTCCTAGCAAAAGGCTACAACCACATATGTTCAGCTTCACCAACCAAAAAGGTGACTTGAAGAGGCCGAGGCGCAGGTGTCAAAAATAAATTCCAAGGGGCTGGACCTTTTTTGGCTTTATACATGCTGATGATCTCCAAAGGTTGGCCCCACAGGGAAAAAAAGTCGCATCACCAGGCCAACCATCCATAGATTTGAAATGATGTGACAAATTCAATAATTTTGTGTCAACACGCGCCCAAAATGCAAAACACATGTTTTTTGCTGAAAATACATTTGTCCATCCGAAAGGGTGCAAACACATATGACATATGTTCAGCTTCGCCATCACATAAAATGAGCTGGAAACGTTCGGATCCACGATTTAATATGTTCCAGGCGCGGGTTATTAGCTAAAGTTGTGGTCTGTGCAGCCCAGGAAATTGTTAACACGTGATTTAATTTGGGTGGTTGTGATTGCGGTAAGCCCCAAAGCATCTGATTCTTAATTTTACATATTCCCAAGTAATTGGGAATGTGGTGATTCATGCGATAAATAATTGAGTTTTGGGTTCGTCTTCAGATAGCCCCCACTCGAATCTGTCATGGGCTTCGAAACATTCATATGTAAACCTTGGGTCCCAGGAAATAAGTCGGTTAGCAGCATATGTTGAGGGGTTGCTTCTTGAGCATTAAATAAGGGTTGGCACCCAGGAATTTAATTAATATTAGAGGGGGAGAAATGCCTTTCTGGAAACCTTAGGCATCAGGAAATTAGCGCCTGCAAGTTTTATTCGCCTGAGACTATAAATTCCGGCAAGTAAGGTCAAACACCAGGATTTTAATCTTAAAAAGGTCAGGACCCCAAACATTAATCGCGATATTTTCCCAGGACAGGACTCTCCGGAGTGCACCAGATGGGGATTATGCAATGCCGTGGTTTTAGTTTACCTCTTGACTCTGACCTCTGACAGAAGGAGTTCCGATCCGGAGAGCCACCCAAAAGTCGGATTCGAGTCGGTTTCGGGTTTCGGGTTTCGGGTTTCATCGATTGAAACCAACTTTCGCTGTCGGTTTCGGGTTTCGGGTTTCGTCGCTTGAAACCAACTTTCGCTGTCGGTTTCGGGCTTCGGGTTTCGGGTTTCGTCGATTGAAACCCACTTTCGCTGTCGGTTTCGGGTTTCGGGTTTCGGGTTTCGTCGATTGAAACCCACTTTCGCTGTCGGTTTCGGGTTTTGGCGTTTTGGGTTTCGGGTTTCGTCGATTGAAACCCACTTTTGCTGTCGGTTTCGGGTTTCGGGTTTCGGGTTTCGTCGATTGAAACCCACTTTCGCTGTCGGTTTCGGATTTCGGGTTTCGGGTTTCGGGTTTCGTCGATTGAAACCCACTTTCGCTGTCGGTTTCGGGTTTCGGGTTTCGGGTTTCGGGTTTCGTCGCTTGAAGAAACCAACTTTCGCTGTCGGTTTCGGGTTTCGGGTTTCGGGTTCGGGTTTCGTCGATTGAAACCCACTTTTGCTGTCGGTTTCGGGTTTCGGGTTTCGGTTTCGGGTTTCGGGTTTCGTCGCCTGAAACCAACTTTCGCTGTCCGTTTCGGGATTCGGGTTTCGGGTTTCGGGTTTCGTCGATTGAAGCTAACTTTAGCCGTCCGTTTCGGGTTTCGAGTTTCGGGTTTCGTAGGTCGAAACCACCTTTAGATTCACCAGTACGATGCCGATCTCACATCACCCAAGTGTCGTTCTCCATGCAGTCGTCAAAAACAAGAGCGGTGAGTGACAAGCGCCTGAAAAGGTCAGAGAGGAAAAACGGCAACGGTTTGGGGGAAACTAGCTGTCACTGAGTGGATTAGATTAGATTAGATTAGATTAGGTAGAGTAGATCAGATTAGATTAGGTAGAATAGATTAGATTAGAATTGGATTAGATTAGATTAGATTAGGTAGAGTAGATCAGATTAGATTAGGTAGATTAGATTAGATTAGATTAGATTAGGTAGATTAGATTAGATTAGATAGATTAAACTAGATTAGAATTAGAGTAGGTTAGGTAGATTAGATTAGGTTAGACTATATAGATGAGATGAGATTAGAATTATATTTGATTAGATTAGATTAGTTTAGGTAGATTAAATTAGATTAGGTTATCTAGATAGATTAGATTAGGTTAGATTAGATTAGTTGGATAGATATGATATGATATGATATGATATGATATGATATCATTAGATTAGATTAGGTTCGATTAGAAATATAAGATTAGAAGAAGTAGATTAGGTTAGATTAGATTAGATTAGACTAGGTAGATTAGATTAGATTGGATTGGAATAAGAATTTTTATAGAATAGGTAGATTAGATTAGATTAGATAGATTAGATTAGATTGATTAGATTAGATTAGTTTTGGTTAGATTAGAATCTGATTTGATTAGGTAGATAAGATTAGATTAGAATTAGATTACTTAGATAGATAGATTAGGTTAGATTAGGTAGATTAGATTAGGTTAGGTAGATTAGATTAGATTAAAATTAGATTCGATTAGGTAGAGTAGATAAGATTAGATAGGTTAAACTAGATTAGAATTAGATTAGATTAGGTAGATTAAATTAGATTAGATTAGATTAGATTAGATAGATAAGATTAGAAATAGATTAGATTAGGTAGATTAGATTAGATTAGATTAGAATTGGATTAGATTAGGTAGATTAGATTAGATTAGATTAGGTTAGCGATCGGTCCTGGGGAAGTTAAGTCTTCAGAGTCGGTTTCGGGCTTCGGGTTTCGGGTTTCGCAGTTCGAAACCAACTTTAACAGTCGGTTTCGGGTTTCGGGTTTCGGGTTTCGGGTTTCGGGTTTCGGGTTTCGGTCGGTCCTGGGGAAGTTA